AGATACATCATGTTCAGGTACAAACACCCAACGATAAATGTAAATGTATTGTATACCTAAAATGTACCAATTAATATATAAATAAAAAATAAACCCAGTACTGATCTCTAAAATTAAAAAAATAAAAATAAAAATAAAGGTTTCAATCAGCATGCAGCAGGAATGAGGGTAATGTAGCCCCATCTCAGATTCTTTCCCAAGCAAGCTAGACTTCTGAAATTTTATGCAAAATCTGCTAGCTTTGAAAGGTTGGAATACACCTCAAATCTAACCAAATACATTTGTGAGCTTGATTTAGACTGTGCATCACCAGTTTGGAAAGTCAGGCTTATGGAGATCAGAAAGAGTTTCCTGAACAAGATTTCTTCTTGGAATTAGAAACAGTCCTCCCTCATTGCAGCAAAGTTTAATGTGAGTAAAGGAAAAAAGAACAGCAGCCAAATCCTCCAAGGCCTCATAGGCCATGAGGAGATGCCAGAAGAAAAATGAAAAGTCACTGATAGATTTTAAGCAGAGTAGTACAAGGTCAGATTTACAACTTGTGATAAGTCACCTCATTTGGACCCCAGTGGAATCCCTCTCCAGCACTCTGACACCCAAAACCAAAGTCAGCCCCAGTCGGATCTGGCTCCTGCCATGCACAATCCTACTTCAAATCATTGGTAATCTATTCTGTTCCCATCAGATCTGCAGAAGCTCCTGGAAATGGTTCGGGAAGATGCCCGTAGGACAGTTACGATGGAAAATGAGATACAAAGAAAAGCTCCCAGGTATTTCTCTTGGCAGATAAAGAATGATAATCCTAATGATGCTAATATTAACAATAGCAGTTACCAATTACTGAGTGTTATATACTTGGTGCTCAGTGTTATATACTTTGTTCATGTGTATTACCTCTTGGGTTTTTACAACAATCCTGCAATGTAAGTACTGTTATTTTTATTTAACAAATAAGAGAATGAACTTCAGAGAGGCTAAATGACTTGTTCAGGACTACACAGTAGTGAACAGTAAGATCATGACTTAAATGCAGATCTTTCTCATCTCCTCTTTACCACTCCACCACACTGCCTGTCGGGAATCCTATGTTTTTTCAACCACCCTTATCATGAATATTTCTGTAGTAGTTATTATCATGAGAGGTGATAAAGAAGAGTTTGGAAATATGAGAGGGAAAAGGGTGTGTTTACTTAGTCTGGGATAAGGATAGGGATCCGTTTCTTCTTCCTTTGGAAAAAACTACAAGCCAAGATTTGGAGGAAACAGGAAGCCAAAAATGGTGGGGCACAGACAGGACAGATGGGGAAAGTGTGTGCAGGAAGCTACGTGTAAGTGTGCTCAGAGAGGACCGTGGCACCTCCAAGGAACAGAAATACAGCCAAAATGGGATGCAGAGGGCCATATACTGGTCTGGGGACCTCATTTTAGAGAAACTCATCTAAGGATTCTGAGCAACAGGCATCCTATGAAGTTTCAAACCAATACAACTGGCTCATTAGAACGTGAAGCTGACGCGTCACACTTCTAGCAGAAAGCCCTCTCCATGGGACTCCTGACCTCTAAAAGCCTCAGGGAGAATGCAGGCTAGAGTCAGAGTTCTCTTCTCAAATGTAAATCCCTCTGAGCCAGAAAATTACTTCTTGAAAATAAATGAGGCAGGAGAAGAGGTGCATCATCCCCTTCAGCCTATTGGGATCCTGGCAATGACTTATTGGTTATTGTTATTACCATAATTACAGATCACTGAGTCCTTTCACACCCATTGTTCCCTACCCATTCCCTCTGCCTGTTATTGATGAATTTACCTGGTGTGGCCTCAACCTCCACTGGGACTCTGGAAGGTGGCACTTGGAAGCACCCAGAGACAAGGTGGGCCCAGAAGGCCCATACTGCTAACCTGACTTGTCAGCATTACAGGCAGACAGTGATCAACATCAGCCTGACTGGGCCTCTTCCTTTGTAAGAGCTCATAGCATGAGCAATGGCTTTGGAGTCAGGCTAACATGGGTCCAAAACCTGGGCCCTTGGGGAAAATCACTTAGCCTTTCTTTAAACCTCCTGTCTTCATCACTTTCCCATCACTAGGACAAAATATTTGGCACCCACAACTTAAAAGAGTAGGAGGTTTTTTTGCTCTGTTTCAGTCCACAGTGAGCTGGCTCCAAGGCAGAAACTGCGTGTTGGAAGGGTATGGCAGAAGAAAGCTACTCATCCCATAACATCCAGGAAGCAGAGTAGGAAGAGAGTTGCTCAAAGCAAGAATACTCCCTTCCGGGTCATGCCCCTAATAACTCACCTGCAATCAGGTCCCACCGCCTGACAGCACATTGAACTACTGAACTGGTCAACCGATGAATCCACTGAGAAGGGAGTCTCCCATGATCCAATCACCTTCAAAGCACCTGAGACTTTCAAATCTAAGCCATAACACCTTCCTTTTCTCATCTCTACAATGAGATTGTGTAGCACCAAAGTGGTGGCATTGGAACGAAATAGACTAGGGATGATCTCCATCCCATCATTTTATTGCTTCACCTCTCTGAGTCTGATTCCACTTCTGCAAAATGAAGCTCCTTAGCTGTCCAAAAGAGTAGCGGTGTGAATTAGCTGATGTTAATCTTGTAAAGTATTATAAATGTTATGGAAATGAGTCACTTAAGGCATTTAGTGAGATAACATGTTTATTTAACACATTAGCTTATGCCTGGAACATAGTAAGCACTCCATAAACGACACTGTTGAGGGAGGGTGGGGGTTGTCATTACTTTTATTTCTACACAGTGCCCTGTAAAATTTTCACAACACCTTGCCAGGACAGGGGCATTAACCGTCACTTTGGCTCCATTTCAAAGATGCTGAAGAGTGGCAATGAGTGACTTCCACAAAGGTCTTCAAAGACGAAATCACACTCAAGCCTGGGTCTTAGGAGACCATCACATGGCCTCTGCTTCCAATTTAGTGATAACATAACCATGGTTACAGCGAAAGAACCATTGGAATTTTCCTTCTTCATTAATTCCTCCAGGAAAGAAATCTACCTAATCTCTGGCTAAGGCAGCAGCCACAGAAATCTCCCATAGGAGCTGCAGGGAGACAGGATCAGCAGCAAGTTCTTTTCTTCCCCCTCTCCTTGGAATCAAGGCCTCTTTCTCACTTTACAACTGTCTTCCCAGTGAGGCTAATAGGAAATCCTGGGATGTGTAGGAACCCCTACAAGCCAGCCTCATCCAGCCCAGCCTCTAAGCCTGACTGGCACAAACTCATGTACGATGACCCACAGCCTTTTCATAAAATCTGCCAGGGGCTGTGTTTCCCAAATGTCCCTGGAGATCAGAATCAGCTTGAGGTGCCTGTGAAAAATGCAAATATAGGCCTCATCCCAGAACAACAGAGTCATAATCTCCAGAGGCAGCTATATTTTTTAACACGCATCTCAAATGGGTGGGCACTGATTCACTGAATGCTGGGGAGTTCTACAAGTGTGTGTGTGTGTGTGTGTGTGTATGTGTGTGTAATTATATAGGGTACATATACATGTGTGTGGAGTTCTAGGAGTATGTATATGCATGTGTGTGGAATCCTAAGTGTGTATGTGTGGAATTCTAGGTATGTATGAGTGTGTGGAATTCTAGGGGATGAGTCTACACATGTGTGCATGTAGAATTTAGAGATGTGTATATGTGTGTGTACAATTCTAGGTGGAAGGGTGTGTGTAAGTCTAGGTGTTTGGGGGTAGAATTCTGTAGTGTGTGGAGCCTCTTGGGTGGAGATTTGTTGAGATGCCCACGCTCTGGGGGATACCCGAGGCCACGCAGCTACAGAGCCCAAGATGCAGCTGCCAGGGACCAGCCACACACATGGGGAGGCAGCTTCCACCAAGGCCCAGCTGCTGCAGAATCTGAGCTGCTGGGACAGGGCACTTCGCATCCAGGAGCATCCCCAGCTCTGGGGCAGAGACTCCTGCCTCTGCCCTTTCTCTGGCTATCTGGGCAACCCACTCTGTTGGTGGGCTCAGCTGTGGAGTCATGGTTCAGGTCCTGCATGGGGAGACATGCCCAAAATTGGGAGCGATGTGACTCTCAGCCTCCCACTTCATCCAAGGAAGCAGGCTTGCTGAAGTCGGAGCCAAGAGAGGACCATGGGAGAGACACAAGTCAAATGCCTGACTTCACCCAGTCCAATCCATAGTGCAAAAAGTGACTCCATTATAACACAGGCAGAAGAGAAGGCAGATTTTGTGATTATACCCTCAGAAGGAATAGAGAACAGAACAGAGGAGACAGACTCTCCATTATACTGAGACTGGCGGCCAGGGAGCCCTGGAACCTATCTGAAGACCTCATGGGAAGAACAGCTGTTGGAACAACAAGAATATTTAGAAAAAGAAATTGAGGAAGCAAAGAAAATGATATCAGGACTACAGATTATAATCCAGAGTCGTCTGGATCAGAGTATGGAGGAAAATCAAGACCTAAAGAACTGCTGAAATGTAAACAAGTCAGAAATTTACAGGGGATAAAGGATGCCTTGCAGCAGAGTTTGACTCAGCAGGACACGTCTGTTCTTCAGCTCAAACAAATGACCAAAGGCACCTATGGACAAAGATGAGCTGCATAACTAGAATGTGGATCTGCAGAGGGAGCTAGATGAGAGGAACCAGGTCTTGGGAGAATATAAAGAAAGGGCTGGGGCAGAAGAATTGCCTCCTTCAGCAGCACCAGGCCAAGTGGAAGAAGCACTCTGGAAACTCTCAGATGTCAGTTACCAGCAGGTGGATCTAGAATGGGAGCTAGAACACAAAGACATCCTTTTGGCTCCTTGGATGAAAAGAGAGGCAGATGAGGTGGCCAACTACAGCAGTTACAGTTCTCAAAGCAACGACTTTCTCATTCCAACAAGAGGAAAGGGAGCTGCTTCCATCACTCACAGAGGGACCAGAGACCTGCAGCTTGTCAGAGATGCTCTGCCCAGCCTTCGCAACAGCTTCAGCGGCCATGACCTTCAGCACCACGCCATCAACAGCTTGGAGGGAGGCATCTCCAGCCTCACGGAGCGCCTGCACTTCATGGAGACACAGAAGAAACAGGAAAGAAAGGTTTGGGGCAAATCACCCAGAAACTCAGGCAGGGAGTGAATCCTGGGAGTCTTGGCCACCTCATTCAAAGTTGTCTGACTCACAGAGTTCTCCAGCTGTCAGCGGCACCTGCACTAAAGTGCTCTATTTCACTGACCGGTCACTCATGCCCTACGTGGTCAATATACCAGAGGTCGGAGGAGGTGACACTGAAGGATTTTAAAGCAGCTATTGATCGGGAAGGGAATCATTAGTATCACTTTGAAGCTCTGGATCCTGAGTTTGGCATTGTCAAAGAGGAGGTTTTCCATCACGATGATGTTGCCATCCCTGGTTGGGAAGGAAAAATTGTAGCCTGGGTGAAAGCAGACCGTGGAGAGAATTAACCCTGAGGATTGAGATCTGGTTACTCTCTGGCTGCTTCACTCAGGAAAGAGGACTAAGACCAGAGTGCACTAAGAAGTTTCTAAATTGTGCTGTCAGTGTCAAAGCTTCTCCAAAAGGAAAGGTCACAGGCCAGCCCTCTTTCTGTGCCTGGCATATCTAGTACTTAAAATCCCTATCCAAATGTAGACCATGGGTTCATCTGGAATCCCTTGTCCGTGAGAATGAAGGCCTTAACCAGTGGGGATGAGTGATCCTGCTCCTGTGGGGGAATAGCTGCTATTATCTGGAACCTGGGAATTGGATGCATCACTCCTGTGTGTTGCAATATTCATTTAATTGGCCTCGATGGTTGCACCAACCAGAGTCCCAGCATTTGTACTCACAGACAAGGCAAAGGTACCAACTTTTCTGCTTCTTTCCGGATACTGCAAACTAAGAATAACTCATGAGGTGGTACCAAAGATGAAAGTTACTCTTCAATAATCATTTGAACTGGACATGGATGATGCTGAATTGTTGACTGGATGGAAAAAGGGCTGTCCATATTGTGCTGTATTATGCTAAAACCATGAGGCCTTGGGCCACTTTTTCTGATCTTAACTGATTCTGCAGCTTGTCCTTTAGCCCACATAAAGTATATTTCATGTACTACTTTAAAAAAAGAAAAGAATTCTATAGTGTGTGTGTGTGTGTATGTGTGATTCTTGATTGTGCGTATTGTGCAAATCTAGGGGTGTGTGTTTATGTGTGTGTGTGTAGTTTGAAATTCAGCATGGAGCCCTCCTCCAACTTCAGTGAATCCAGATCTCTGGAACCATGGTCCAGGATCTGTGTTTTTAGCAAATTCAGGGAATTCCTATGCCAGGTAGCTCTGAAGATCCCACTCTAGAAAGAGGACTCTCCATCCTCCATTCTCCCACCCATATCAGCTGCCACAGGAGCATGATGTGTTCAGCATTTTGCCAACAGTCCCTCTTGCTTTGCAGCCTCCTGTCCATGCTCACCCAGCACAAGAGTGATTCTACCCTGAAGGAGGGTCAGGCCACCCACAAGTCAAGGTAGGAGGGCCTGAAACCCACAGCAAGTGGATCGGGAGGCTCCCGCCCATTACAGGGCTGCTGCAGAGATGCCCCTCCCCAGGCTATGACAGGAGGAGCAGAGAGGGGCCCTTCTCCTTGTGACTTTACTGGAATCAAATCCTTTCATTCAAGAGGCTGGGTGTGAGTATCCAGGCAGTTCTCCCAACAATTATATGTTGGAAATTTAAAATCCTCCAATGATGAAGAGCTGTTTGGAGGGTGTAATACAGGATTATCCCTCTGCTCTTATTTTAAAAATAAATTTTATCCTCCATATATGAGGTTTACAACATGATGCTATGGGTTACAGATGGATGAACCTGGAAGACCTCATGCTAAGTGAAATGTCTATCCCCTCTTGGGTGACTTGTAATGGAGAAGTGGAGGGCTTCCCTCAGTTGATTTACTCATTTAGAGAATATTCCTAGATCTCCTCTATGTCCCAGGAATTATACTAGGTTTTGAGGTTTCAGTAGCAAACAAACAAATGCAATTTTCCCTCATGGATCTCACTGTCTGGATCTTTTTTTTTACTATTCATTAAGTTTATTGGTACATTTTAGGTATACATTATGATGACACCCATCATTGGGACTTTGTACCTATACATGACTTATCTTGGTTCTTATTTTTTCCCCCTTCCTGTGCTCTCCCTTCAACCCCTCCCCACTCCGTATTTACAAAGACTTTGTTTCCATTATTTCCCTTTTTTCTCTTATTTTTTCTTTCTGTTCTTTCCTTTCCCCTGCCCCCTCACTTCCCCTTCCCCTTCCCCTTTGGACCTTTTCTTCCTATTTCACATTACCTATTATACATTTTGGTCCTCATTTACACTTTCAGTTTCTCACACCAGAAAGACAATTCGATATTTGCACATATGTGTCCTATTTATTTCACTGAAGAGTATGGCCTCAATGTGCATCCATTTAGCTATAAATGTCTCTAGTTTATCATTCTTCATGGCTGAGTATGTCTGGATCTTTTTCGCTCCGTGGAACCTTTATCAGTTTGAGAAGGCCTATGGATTCCTTTCAGAAAGATGTTTTAAATATATACCACAAATTACAACAGATTACTGAAATAACTATAGCAATAAGGATTACTATATTACAACCCAGTTTGGGACATAGTAACCTCTGAGCTTCTTTAGCAAAGGCTTATATAATAAGACATAACAGCAGGTCTACTAACTATTCTAATTTTGGATTAGTGTTGAGTGTAAACAGTTCTTCAAAATACTTCCCACAGTTGTAATCTGATATGCAAATGCCTATGATTTCTATTTCAGTTAAGGGCTAGTTAAAATACAGATGAAGGATTTTGTCCCCATCTGCATTGATGGACCCTTAAATTCTGCCTGTGCTTAAGAATCACTAGTTTGATAAAATTGTCAAGCATTCCTCAAATAATTAGCCATAAAATCATATTTATGAAAAATGTTCTGAAGGAAAAAGAAGGAGGGTTGAGAGAACTTTTAGTACCAGAGTCTGAACCAAGGCAGAATTTGACATTTAAGCTAAGATTTGAAGAACAAAGAATTGGCTTGTCTGTGGGAATGGCCTTGAAACAGGTGTAAAGGGCCCGAGGCAGGAGAAATCTTAAAGGCACTGAGAAAAGACCAGTGTGGATGAAACTCACTGAAGATAGAGGGAAGGGGGAATGAAGGAAGCAAAGGGGCCTTTGTTTCTATTTGTTTCTTTATCACTAGCTAACACCACCACTTCTCTCACCTCCCACCTGCTTTCTTATGTCAAAACTCTAAAAGAGAGCAGGAGGAAAACAGGAAGAAGTCTACTTGGTCTTCAGAAGATTCATCTACAGGAATGGGGGCCGTTAGCCTTCCAGATTTTATTACTGGGGACCTGCATCCCATCCAGGTGGAATAAGGGTATACCCATCACCTACCAGGCCTAAGACCTCTGAGTCCAGTCCCATGGACTTCTGGGGAAAGCAGCAAAGGTCAGGGTCAGAAAGGAAGGGCATCCACATAGGAGTCCTAAGACAGTCTTACCCCAGGACCTCAGAGATAAATGGTCAAGTCAATTTTCCAAGTATTTGGAAAAAACTAGAGGAGAGAGGGAAGGAGAAAAGTGCTAGACCATGAAGCTGGAGGCCCCGGTTAATAAAAGAAGTGCTCGGAGAAAGACCGAGCAGAGAGACAGGCCTGAGTTGAGGCTGTTATCTTCCTTAGGATCACCACCCAGGCAGACTCACAGGACAGAGTATCCACACAAGGAATCCAATCAGTCCACTGCTAGAGAGGGCCAGCCAATGTGAGGGGTTGATCACAGATGAGGAAACTCCAGAATGGAGTTACAGACAGGGAGAGGTGCCACTGGCTGAGCTCTCAATCCAGCCCTGTCTGCCTCCAAAGCAGAGTGAAATCCGTGCTCAGATCAAGGGTCCAGGCTGGAGAAGAGAATCCTGATGTCCGTAATCCCAGCACACTGGGAGGCTGGGGCAGGAAGATTGCAAGTTCTAGCTCACCCTGAACAATTTAGCAAGTTAACAAGACCCTGTCACAAAAATTTTAAAAGGGCTGGGGATGTAGCTTAGTACAAAGGCCCTGGGTTCAATCCCTGGGAAGGGGAGGAGGGGAAAGAGGGAGGGAGAAGGAAGAAAAGAGACAGAGGAGGAAGAGGAAGGGAGCGGAGAGAACCCTGCAATGAGGAGGCAGTCTGGGGGTGGAGACACCAAAGACAATACGGCTAGGAGGACTTGGTCATACTCTTACCAACATGCACTTGGCCCAGTGTTCAGTGCTGAGTGTGAAGAGGAGGATGGAAGGGCCCAAAACAAAGTTATCCTCCAGATGAAGAGGCTGATTTTATACAAACAAAAAGAGGATCCAGAGAATATGCAGTCCCCCGACACCATGCAGAGGCAGCAGGTCAAAGATGGACTGAAGAGTCCAAGAGTGTAGGATATTCTGTGGCCCCTGAAACACGGTAGGATTTGAGCAGGTGGTAGAGGAAGAAGGAGGGCCCTCCAGGCATGGGATATGGCAGCAGAAAAGGCCAGGCAGTGGGGGAAAACAGTCACTGAGTTCTGGACTAGAACCACCTCCTGTGTCTGAATCCTGGTGGCTTGTGGGTTTCATGGGGCCCATGGAGGGAGGCTGTTTCTGAAAAGCAGGCTCAAGGCCACGTGAAACCATCCTTGGTGTTGCAGTGAGAAATCCAGCACTACAAGTGGAGAAAGCCACACCCCAACAGCGCAGAAGAAGACGAAAGGGTAAGTAAGCCAAGTGGGCAGTGGCAGGCTCACCATGGTGAGCACTCTGTCTTCCCCTTCCCAGGGGTGTGGAAATGACCCAATACAGACCAGACTCCCAGAAGCCACAGACAGTGCAGAGGGACAAGGAGCCCACTGGGCAAGGGGGTCACAGCCAAGATGCCAAGTGACAACACAGACAATAGCAAGAAATTCCTCTGCTGTGCCAGGCCCCGTGAGAGGCATTCTGCATTCATTGCCTTGTTTATTCTTCAAAAGCAATCCTATGAGCAAGGGCATTTTATCCTATTTACAGAGGAGCAAGCTGAAAGTTGGCCAAGTGAAATGTCTTGTCGGCCAACACACAGCTAAGAAGGAGTGGAGCTGGTATTTGAGCCTGAATCTCCCAGTTCCAAAGTCCATCTCACTGTCCTTAACATGTGGCACCCTCATTCAACCAGCTTTCTCACTGTAGGCTCATTTAATACGGCCTGCGCCACCAGCCTGGTGTTACTGGGGAGATCTAGTCTTCCTGCATCTGGGGGTGCTGGGAAAGCTCCAAGTGAAGGCAGAGAACTCAGGGGCCCACGGAGGCCAGAGTGGGACCCTTGAGGCCACTAAAGGGACCCCTTTGGCTCCACCCCTCAACTTCTTCTGATCTGTGTCCACAGCCATGCTAACCATGACATTGTCCAGTACAAGAGCGGGATCTGTGGCATCATGAGGGCCAAGTTCTACAGCATAGCCCAGGAAGCTGGCTTCTGCTTGCAGGACAAGATGGAAATCCTCTCGAAGTAAGGGCATGCCTGTATCTAAATCACTCACAGAATGCTTACCAGGCACCCACTGCGTGCCTACCAGGTGACAGGTGCTAGGGCTATAATCCGCTAGCAACAGCAAAGACATACTCCCTGCCCTCAGGGAGCTACCAGTGCCCTGCAAAACTGGGGCAGAAACAAGATAACTGCATCTATAAATATAGAAATAGAGAGTTACAAACTATAATCATCCCACGCAGGAAGTCAACAGGGTATTGTGTCAGGGAGGGATGAAAAGGGAAAGGGAGCAGAAGAAGGAAGAAAGGAGAGAGGGAGAGAAAGAGAGAAGGAGGAAGGGGAAGCCACAACAATAAAGAGGAGGAGAGGGGGAAAGTAAGAAAGAGAAAAAGGGAAGAGGAGGAGACAGGGGGAAGAGATAGTAAAAAGAAGACAGTGGAGGAGAGGGGGAAGGGAGGCCGAGAAGGAGAAGGAAGAGAAGATGAAGAAAGAAGAGGAGGGCTGGGGAGGAGGAGGAGAAGGAGAAGAGGAAGAAGAAGGACAACAACAACAATATGAGGAGGGGGAGCAGTAGGAAGAGAAGGAGGAGGAGGAGATGTTTGCTGATCTGCAAAGTCCTCTCTAAGAGGTAACTTTCGGACAACCCCTGAAGGGTGAGAAGGAACTTGTGGTATGATGAGAAAGGGAAATGCCATTCTAGACGGCTGGAAAAGTCCATTACAAAGTCCCAAGGCAGGAAGGGATATGGGGAAGGAGTGGGGATAGCAGTGAGGGATGCATCATGCACAGCTGTAACTGTGATAATTGGGAGTTGATTTTAAGAGCACCAGCAGGCCACTGGGCCCTTTTCCTCATCTGGAAATTCTAACAGCTGGCCCTCTTCCCAGCCTGTGCCTTGACTCCAGCATCCACCTGCCCCCGGTGAAGTCATCCAATCAGTGTGGACCGTAAGATGACCCTCTGCACTCTCATCCTTACTGTGGTGATCAAATGGCTCCCTGGGGACAAGGGTTGGAGAGGACTCATCCCAACCCTTCTTTCTGGGAGCTCCCCATCAGGTGTGGGAGACAGACAACCAAACAGGCAGTTTCTACACAAGGGGGTGAGGGTCAGCAGGATGACAAGCAGAGGGCTAAGGAAACGCTGAAAAAGGATACACTTCCTGACCTGGGACAGCCATCAGAAGTCTTCCTGGAAGAAATCACATTTTTAGGTCAAGAAGAAACAGAAGGTATTTCTGGGACACTGTGTTAGTGCACTGCACAGAGTGTAGGGAATGTATAGTGAAAGCTTTGTGTTTGTGTATTATGGGTGCCTCACAAATGGTGGGGTAAGTGCTAGAATTAGACCCATGTTATAGAGAATAAAAGTAGGCTCAGAGATAGTTCTTATCAAAGGTGCCCCAAGTGGCTAGAGAGTAAGAGTAGAGTTCAAACCCGAAGAGTCACACTGGAAAATTTAAGGTGAGGAGTTCCAAAGAAAAGAAGCAGCAAAGTCCCCGACGGCAGAAAGGACACCGCCAGGAGTCAGCTATGGCTGGGGCTCAGGAGCCTTGCAACGTGACCAGAGAGCAAGACAGAGGCCAGGTCAGAAAAAGCTTTACTAGCCCAGTAGTGGAGGTCAAACTCCATCTCAGAAACTTTGATCATGAGCCAAGGCATAAAATTCTGGACACAGTGATGAAGTTGAAAAATGTTGGAGGGACTGAATAGCCTGGTACCGTGGAGGACAAGTTATTCAAAGTTATGTTTTATGAATAAAATGGAAAGCCTTTGAACAGTGTGTAGAGGGGGTTGGTTATATTTATAACATGAATTCTTCTGAGAGAGAGGATGTATGCACAAAATGATGCAGGAACTAGGGAAGAGAGGAACCAGCATGAATTAAACGCCAACTCTGTGCCTGGCAGTAAGCTCAGTACTTTGCACACATAACGTAACTAATCTTTACCTCTGAAGAGTGGGAACTGTTATCTTCCATCTTACCGATGAGAAAACTGTGTCGACACAATCAGAAGTAGGAAGAAAGGCCGAGCTAATAGAAAGAGGCTAGTTTAGCAAGAAAAGTGTTTCAGATCCCTGGAAAGTGACATTACCTTCCACTGAAAGCAAGATCATAAATTAAATAGTAGCTGAGAGGGTTAGGAAGGGCCTCATTAAGGATAAGGTGATTAAGTCAGATCTCAAATGGCAGCCAGGAAGGTGAAAGGAGGGAATCTAATTCCTCTTCCTCTTTCTTGTACAACTTTGTAGGCACCAAGAAGAGAGAAGTCTCCAGAAGTTCCGTTCTTTTGGCCTTGTCTCAAATTTTCAAAATGATATAGCAAAGATGAGACAACAAATCTCTGTAGTTAAAGGAGATGCAGAAGAAACTGCCGACCACTGGTAAAGATCCTGAGAACCAGCTAAGATGGTCCCTGAAAAGGGGTAGGGAGTTGTTATTATAAGATCACGATTTATTCCACTGTCCTTCAAGGCATAGAAAAACATCACCCCAAAACTGCCCATGATCCCCATAATAGGCTAAATCCAGAGCATAATCAGACAAGAACTCATCAGCTTCTGAACCATAGATAACCTAACTTGTTGTTTTCTCCATATTTACCTTATGTTTGATTCTGATGTATAAATAAGGAGAACCAACTTGCTGGTTGGGGGTGCCGGGGACAAAGCACCTCAACCTGAAACTTTCTGCAGATTCTGAGGGCTATAAGGTGATCACTACATTTCCCAAACAATTTAATTCCTCAAGGATATACTAGTCAAGGAACAGACACACCCAAGGAACACCAAGGGGTGAATACAACCACAAAAAGCAGCATACTTTTTGGTGTTCCCCGGTACAGTAGGGTGACCAAAGTTAACAATACTGTACTGTGTATGTCAAAATAATGAGAAGATCCTGAATGCTTACCACAAAGAAATGATAAATGCTTGATGGATATGCTAAATATCCCAGTTGGGTGAGTACACACCATATGCATGTATTAAAACGTCACACTTTACCCCTTAAATATGCACAATTACTATGTCAACTAAAAGTACAATAAAACTTTTAAGAAACAAAATACACATTGGGCTAGGGCTGAAGCTCAGTGATGGAGAACTTGTCTAGTAAGTACAAAGCCTTGAGTTTGATCCTGAGCACTACAGGGAAAAAGAAAAGAAAATGCAGGCCTACTGAAAGATTTAGAAACAATGAATTGAGTGACTGCTGGATGGTAGACACAACTACCCTAAATAAACTTCATGAAACATTTTATTCCTCCCCCTAAATCCTGAGAAGCACATATTAACCCCAATTCACAGATAAGAAAACTGAGACTTGGAGAAGTCCATTCACGTATCCAAGGTCGCCACACTGGTGAATGGTGAGTTCAGGATGGAAGGCCCTGTCCTGCCCCAGTCAATGAGCTCACTCAAAGTAAAGAACTGAAGTCTGGTGAACCGTGATATCACAAACCCCATCCCGGGCAGGGTGACTAAACCAAGATCTAAGAACAAGATGAGAAAATTTAAACATGTACCCGGAATCCCTCCCCTGATATTAATAATGTGCCACAGCCAGATCCCTGGGAGCTTATCAGAGTCGTGGAACCTTCCAGGGCTTCACACTCCCAGAGTACTACTCTCTCCCAAGCTGGCTTTCATGAGGCTCTCAAGAGGGACCCTCCTGAAGGCAGAAAAGGGTGAGTCTTTCACAAATCTTCTCCCCTCTCTTTTTACAGCACTGGGGGTCAAACCCAAGGACTTTGCATTGAGCTATGTGCCCAGTCCATTTTCTTTTCTTAATTTTGAGACAGGGGCTCACTAAGTCACCAGGTTGCCAACACTAGGCTCATACTTGCTGTCTTCCTGCCTCAACCTTCCCAAGTGCTCTCTCTTCTTTAGGAGGGAGGTAGAGAAGGGAAAATGAGAGTTATAAAGTAACTCACATAAAGGTATTACAGTGGGAAATTAATGCTGATCCTCCCACAGCTGGATTCAGCCCACATTCCTAGTGGCAGAATTTCTGGCATCGTTATGGGGAATGCAACTGCCCTCCATAGTAACATTAAAATTAAATCAAATGAACCACAGCATAGTAACAATGATGCTGAGTTGTAGCTCTTCACTCATCCTTTCAGATTATAGTTACTGAGCACCTACTACAAATTAGGCACAGTTCTAGCACCCAAGGCTGAATAACTCAGGGAAAGTTCCTGTTGTCATGGGGATTCCATTCTATACAAGGAGACATGAATATATATATATATATATATATATATATATATATATATCATTGTACTCTTTCATAAAACTGAAACACACAAGCCATGGACCAAGCTTATTCATTATCAGAGAGATGGAAAATACACACACACACACACACACACACACTTTTGTTGTCATTGTCGTCTTGAAGGTAGATGGAGCCCTCTGGCATCCTGGTAGGCCTCCGCTAGATGTGTCCATGTCCACCTTGGCCTGATGAACTCTCAGAAGAGAAGCTTCAGAATCCAAATACCCCCTCCTTTTGTCAACCTTTTCACATTGTCTGCTTGGTATAAAACCTATAAATGTGTCCCTTGAAAGCATGCCTTTCATTTATTTTCTGATAAAGTACAAGACATGTTCCAGCTTTTCCTAAAAAGAAATAAAGATTTGCCTGATCTGTGGGACTATTAATAATTTAAGATGGAGGAAAGGCCCCAGATAGAGGTTTGGGCTGCCCCAGAACCTCCCATGAGTGAGAGAAAGAGAACGTGGAGAAGAGGGTGCCCCTCCCCTCCTGGGACCTCCCTAACTGGCCCTCTGCTCTTCCATTGAAGGTACCTTGATTTGTTGTCCAAACTCCCTGAGGATCTGAAGAACTACCGCCCCGCCAAAAAGATCCTAATCAAACTCCAGAAGTTTGGGGAGAACCTTGACCTGAGTGTCCGGCCCCATGTTCTCCTGAAGGTGCTGCAGGATCTGAGGGTCTGGGAACTGTGCTCCCCAGATGTTGCTGTGGCTATTGAGGTAACCGCCATCTCCTCCCCCTCACCATGCCTTGAGCACTCTTATTCAATCATTTCTTAACATCTGGGTATGGTTTTGAGAATGGAGGCATCACAAGCAAAAGACATACAGCCCCTGCATCACGGTGCTCCTAATTTAATAGAAGAATCAACACATGACCTTGGTTGTTCAAGTCCAACCCTAAGGAAAGTTAGATTCTATACAAATGGTGCCCTTTGAAAGCTAAGAGGTTTTGGAAAACATGAAGAAATGGATAATCATAAGGAGTGCTCCAAATCCGACTGTGCAGGTATAGTCCAGGGGCCCGCAGCTTGCACCTCACCGGAGTGCTTGTGCGAAGTCTCAGGCACCAGACTGTATCTGCCAGTTCAGAATTGGCATTTTAATGGGATCCCGGGTGTGTTGCATACACAATAAAATTTGAGATGCTCTGATTTGAAGTAAATTAACAGAGACCTAGTTGCCAGGGCAACTGGGTTTTTTTTTTATGTTTGTTATTTTAATTTTTTGTTTTATTTGCAGTGATGGGGATCAAACACCAGGCCTTTGCACTGAGCTACATCCCCACCCTCTTTGATTTTTTTAAAGACAGAGTCTCACTAAGTTGTCAGATTGCCCGGATGGGGCTTGAACTTGTGATCCTCCTGCCTCAGCCTCCCAAAATGCCAGGATTACAAGCATGTACCCCCATTCCCAGCTGGAAAGTGACTTTTAAACTGAGACCAGAATGATGAGGAGATAGCACCATACAAAGGAGGGGAGAGAGCAGGTCAGGAAGAGCAGTTCATATGAACAAAGACCCCAAAGCAGGACAGGATTTGACTTGCTGGAGGAGCTCATTAGGCAGTCAGTCACTGGGTGTGGCTGGCAGGGTGTGCAAGGTGCCAAGAGGAATGGGGAGGTCAGTCTGTGCTGGCCTGTGAAAGTCAGGGTGAAGATTTAGGTCTCTATCTCCAAGGTGCTGAGGAGGCTTTCTGTAGCCATTACCATCACTACCAGAAGTTCCTGGAGCTCTACTCCCTTAGGGCAACAAAACCAGCAGCAGTAGGGACTCCACAGCAGGGATGAACAGGTGCTTACTCACTTCCTTAACTTTATCAGATGGCATATGTGCATTTTAATCAGCCCTTCAGTCTGCAAAGAAAGAAATGACTCAAATGGTGGATTTCTCCAGCTGCACGGACTTCGGAGATCTTGGCCATTTCGTATCAGACTGGCCCTTCCACAGGGTGAACTTGGATTGTGTGTGTAGGAGCAAGGCCAAAAACAGGGGCAGGGGGTGACCCTGTGGACAAATGTGGATGTCCAGAATTTACTCCCTATGCCCTGTGAGGCTCTTTCAGGAAAGACTCTGGCAGGCTAAGCCAAGAGGGTAGCTTCCACCTAGCACTGGCCAGTTGTGAGGTTCTACTTCTACCTGCCACCTTTAGGGGTGCAGGGAGAAGGCGGTCCTTGAATGGGTAAGAGGAAGGGGCTACAGAAGCTTCCTCTTTCTCTGAGGTGCATTCTCAGCCCTGAGTAATAGAACTTAGCACTCTCTTCTGCTCCAGAAAGATCATTACAGAACTTCTGATAAGCTGAAGTTGGGGTCTCTAAATCTAGAGTCTATAGGAAACAGTATGTTTTCTGTGTCTTAAACTCTTTCCTGGAAAGCAAGCCCAGAGCTGTCATCAATTCTCAAAGAGATATATGAACAAAGGGCTTTTTAAAAAGAGATTAAGGAGTAGAAAAGAAAAGAAATGCATTCAGCTGAATTCTCCTACCCTTCTCAAATAGCAATAAGGAGAGGCTGAAAATTACCAGGAAACTGGTCCTTTTTCCCAAACCGGCCAGCTCGGCCTGATGACAGCTGATCCTGAATCATCAGGATCAATCACAAATCTTCTAGGATTTTGAAGGGAGGTGGGTGAGGATGGAAGCTAGCTTTCAAACTAAATTCTGAGATTGCCACTGTGTTTAACCCACAGTTTGTGCGAGAACACATCATTCATATGCCTCGTGAGGATTACATCACCTGGCTGCAAAGCCAGATCAGTATGGCCGTCTGACCCCACAGTACCCTGACGTAGTCTGGGCCTGGTCAACCAGCTGTCCCAGTGGAGGAGGGCACGCCAACAGCACATTCTGTGTCCCACCTGTGTTCTTGCTTCCTGCCTGCTCTTCTGGATACTTGTTATGATACAGTAAGATCAACTGGAGACTGACTCCTGGAAACACTCTAGAGACAGACTCCCAAGTGGTCCTCCCCTCAACCCCCACCCTTCCCTCAGTCTCCAAGTCTCTGCTCATTGCTCCAGCCTGACTCTACCTACTTCTCCAGATTCCTTCACCCCATTCCTTTTCCACACATTGTGGATAATAAAATTGAGATGAATGTTTAATGTCTGGCTGGAAAAGAGTTGGAGCTATGGTATTCAGATTCTAATAATGGTAATACTTATCACTCATGGAGCTTCTATTATCCAGCTATCCCAGTCCTGGGTGCTTTGCCTATATAATGTTATTTAAATTTCACAATAATTTGGTTAAGTAGGTACCAATGATAGTCCCATTTCACACAATTGGAACTAGGATATGTTTCTCAACATTATAAAAATGGCTGTGGATGGATGGATGGGATGGGATGGGATGGATGAATGGCATTCTCTAACAAGGCAATAGTGTGCAAGAAAATCTTAGCCATAAGAATTCTTATGTATTTTCTAGTGGTTTTGGTTGCAAGAGAAAGCTTATCTTCCTGTCATCCCTGAGGAGGAAGAGGAAGAGGAGGAGGAGGAGGACGAAGAGGTGGAGGTGGAGGGCGTTTGTTGCCTTGTAACCTCTTTTCTCATCTTATCCTTGCACTCATCTACATTCTCAATCAGCTAGGAACTGTAGGGTTTTGTTTCTCTCAATGATAGCTGAGCTGAATGGACAATGGACAAGTGGACTGGGTTTCCATTACATCAAGATTATCAAAGCATCCGTGTAGGTTGGGTTTCAGTGTCTCTCCGTGAAAATCCAGAAGTGAGGAGAAGAGTTGAATCATAATTATTATTCAGTGTAAGCAACATCTCACACTCATACATCCACTTATTCATGTACTCATTCATTCAGTGAATATTTATCAAGAACCCAATATGCACCAAGTTCTAGGGGCTGAGAGTACAGCATTGCACAAGTCAGCCAAGATCCCTGCTCTCCTAGAGGTTACATGTGCACTAGTCAGCAAAATGTGATGGGGAGACAGAAGATTGTGAAACATCACATCTCTCAGTGTAGGTACCCTGGGTCTTACATGCTATCTTGACAAGCTACTGGTGTGCAAAGATGAGAGACATACAATACAGTCTCTAAGGAGATGGCAAAATTCAGAAGCCCTACACATCTCTTTATTAAGTAGGAATTTGAGTGAAAGGGACTGGAGAAGATGGGAAAAAAGCAAAAAGAGAAGGATGGGGATGGAGAGGAAGGATGAGAACAAGGAACAATGAGCAGGAGAAGGGAGGAGATGTCGAAGTAACAGGAGAGTAAGAAAATACCATGCGAGAAACCAACCAAGGAAGCATTCCCAGGGAGGGGCTGGCTGAAGGATCTCTAAGAACTAGAAAGACAAACCAACTGCTCCACTTCATTGCTTAGACCTTCAGCCATTTCTGCTACAGACCCAATTGTCCTCTGGGAGCAATGTCATAGGGAAATAAAGGATAAGGGGTGTATTCCACATGTGAGTCTGCTCCAGAGCAAAGAAAGGGCTGGGGGGACTCAGAGCCTAAGTACAATAAAAAGAGTTTAGTAGGACCCAGAAGTCAAAGCTAGAGAGACTACTATTACATAATCTCTGTTGATTTATAGAAATCTTAAATGAACAGCTTGATTTTTCAGTTGAGTAACCAACTGGACTATGTTTAAGATTAGAAGTACAGGACAGAGGGAGGCAGAAGCCAAATTTTTAGATGTATCAAAGGTCATGTTATGAAGTTTACTTCATCCTACTGGTGGTAGGGAGTCATAGCAGGATTTAGAACAGGAAAATAATGACATCTGCTTTCAGGGGAGGAAATGGCTTCCATGTGAAAGGCAGGAAGCAGAAAGGTAAGAGGACACTGCAGCCATGATTTGTGGGAAGCAATGTCAGGGAAGATAGAAAGAAAAAACAATTGAAAGGATGTTTAATCAACAGAATTTGGCATGATGGATTATAAGGTGGGAGGGGAACACAGTATCAGGAATCATGGGCAGAAGGTAATGTTCTTAATGTACCAGGAGGAGAGGCAGAAAAGAAAGCTCATAATGAGAAGGTGAGGAGTTATGTTTGAATTTACTGAATTGGAGAAGCCTGGGGATCCACAGAATGGAGAGATGTAGAACTCAGGCTAGAGGGTTGTGCTGGACATAGAAAAGTGACAGGTCGGGATGGTTAAGGTAAGGAGAACGAGGAGGGGCCAGAAGAGGAAAGGAGAAAGGGGTCTTTGATGATAGAACCACAAAATATATCAAGTAGCGTTCTCATAATGTGGCATTTACTGACGGGCTGCCTCACCCCAGCCCTGTGCCAAGCGTGTGACGTATACTCTCATCCCATCTTAACAACCTGCCCGGGCAGCAGTCTTGTCTTCTTCCTGTGCTGTTGATGATGAGAAGGAGGCTCCAACATGTGTTCTGCATGCTTTTTTAAAAAATGTAAACTAAATTTACATAACTGGTACATAAAACATAAAACTTTTACGTGTTCATGGGGATGCCATGTATACAGATATACATTGTGTCATGTTCAGATCATGGTAAACATATCAGTCTCCTTAAACATTATCTTTGTTTTTTGTTTTGTTTGTTGTAGTGCTGGTGATGGAACCCATGGCCTCACAAATCCTAGGCATCCATAGCTCACCATTTATCATTGCTTTATGGTGAAAATATTCAAAATCCTTGCTGTGAGCTTTTTGGAAGATACAGTACATTTTGTCGCCTCTTACTCATTGTACCCCACCTCTCCCTCCTCCCATGTCCTGATGACACCTGGTAAATACCCCTACACTCAGCACTACCCCGGCCCCCAGCTATAATACAGGAAGCCACGGGAGTTATTGAGCCTTTGCAATCGTGCCCAAGGAATGGTTCAATGGTGTGGCTCCTGGGCATTGTATTAACTCACATTTGCATTGTATTCCAGAGCTGTCAAAGTTTCATCTCCAAGTTTCATCTTATTTGACTTTCACAGCATCTTTCAGTTAGACATTCATACACTCTACATTTTGCAGCTAAGCAGATTGAGACATAAGATTGCTTTCCAGCAGTCACCAGCCGGTACGTGGCAGAGCCAAGTCTAGAATGAGGCTTGTCTGTCCAGGAAAGGAATGATGCCCAGATCACAAGATTTAGGCCACAGTCCTATGTGGCACTTTCTGAGCTTATTTCTCAGAGCTATCGCTCCATCTAGTGGTTATTATTAGCATTACTCTCCACCCCACCCTTCAGCAAAATACAGCCATCCTGACAAAAAGGAAGAAGCAGGTGTCAACCATAATAAGGAGACCTACTGTGCTTACTTAGATAAGGAATACTTACTCAAGGGAAGATCTTTTATTATTAAAGTAGATCGGGGACTAAAGGAAGCATCAGTGTCGCCAAGTATGTACTAGGCCCGTAGTTCCTGTCCCCTATTCTGACCAAGCCTGCTGAGTGGTTATAATGAGAGTTTGTAAAACTACACGTTCCCTAGAAAAACTTTTTCAGTAAAAGATCACATAGTAAATATTTGTAGCATATTCTTTTTATATCTGAAGTCCTTTAACGTGTAGAGACCATTCTTAGATTGGAAGTCATACACAAAACAGTCCACAGGCCTCTGGCCCCTCTCTCTGCTAGGAGGCAAATGTAAGGATGGAGAAGAATTTCCTAGTCTTCCCAAAAGGCAGACAGGGGGAGCTGATGAAAAATATGGTGAAAATTTAGAAAAAGAGATTTTTGTTTTGCACTATTCATAATAGTTCTTATCTCCTTATGGAAAGAGAATGTATATATGGTGCAAAATTTTGAGCAGTGCAAAAGGACATTAACTAAATAGTAAGTCTTCCCTCCCTCTCCAACTCTCAGAGCCCATTCTCATTTAGAGAAGCAGTTACACTGTGCCTAGTAGCTTGTGTATCTTTCTGGAGCTATTTTGTGCATGTACAAACAAAAGCATTTTTAATTAATTAAAAAGAATTATGTACCTGTATCTATTGTATACTTGGTGGCAGGCATTGTTCTAAGTGCTTTGCAGGTTAATTTTAGTTTATCTTCACAATAGAGGAACCTAGGGATGCAGAAAAGTTAAGCAATCTTCCAGAGGCTACAGAATTTGGGTTTGTGTCCTGTTTTCTTTTTAAAAGACACAGTGAGCCTAGTGGATAACTCCTGTGTTATTTCATTTTGTTAGTGGCATTTCACTTTTGATCTTTCTACTTTACATGAAGGAGGAAAGTGGCTCAAGTTTCATATCAGTGTGTTGAAAGCAGAAGCCAGATTCTCATCAACACCCTTAAGTGGCATTTATATTAATGGATCCCCGATCAAGGAAGCACTGAACCATAAGTTAGCAATCAATTGTAAAAATGGTATCCAAATCAAAGCTCAAGTTCATGTTCAAAACTCCCATATCACTTCCCTTTTAACCCAGTACTGCTCATCTCAACCCCTGAGACTAGCCTGCATAACTGAGAGTAATTGTCCTTCCCTATCTTGGGGCCCAGAGCTATCCAGGTAAAGCCAGATGTAGAAAACATGAGGTAAGAACTTAATAATAGTGTAATGTTTCTGAATGCCTTGTGCCAAGCACTACATCATTAATGCACTCACTGAGGGAGTCCTTACAATTACTCGGGGAGACCAGCATTATTGGCATATTCCCAGTTTGCAGATGGTAAAAATTGGAAGTCAAGAAAGGTGATATGGCTTGATCAAGTCATACACCTTCAAGATATAAATCCACAGTTCAAATCCCGATCATGACGATATTTTGAAAAACTGTTTTGCCTACATTACAGTATCTATTTATTTAGATCCTTTTGCCAGAGTGTTCAAATTGGTCCTCTTTAGGTGGGAGTCAGAGACAGAGCTTTAATAATAATAAATTTTAAAGCTATTGACATCTTTTGAAGGATATTTTTATTTATTAGCATCATGTGAGCTTCAAAACAATCCTCTGAGTTCTCACACAGTAACTTGAGACATAGACCTGACTCTCCACCTCTCTAGTTTTCTCTATCATACTAGTCTGGGAGACCAAACCTAGGAAGCATACTAGAGACCCTGTGGGAACAAAGTTCTTTTAGGTGTAGTCTCAAAATAGCTCCCCTTTATTTTTATCTATCTCTCAGATTATATTGACTCCATGAGAACAAAGACAATTTCTCCTTTA